AGTCCAAACTGCAACACAGAAACAAAGTTTTCAAATGTATCCACTTTTGACTATGTTTTCAAAAAGATACATATTCAATTCCTAAAAATGCAGTCTAAAGGCTGATTTATACTTATGCATCAAGCACACGTGTATGGTCCGGCACAGCCTTTGCTCTGTCTCACAGCCCTCACTGTGGCTGAAGCGCACCTCTCAAAAAATGTAACTACATGTTGCAAATTGGTCAGCTTGGTAGTGGCAGTGCTGAGAGCAGCAAGCCTGATGTAGTGAGTGTTTACAATTGTTGAGTCCCGTAAAAGAGCTCCAGATGGAAACGCTTGTTTTGTGTTTACCTTATGATTAAAGTTGTTGCACGTCAGCCAGTTCCCGTCTCTGAATAAGCGAGTTTTAGCGACTTAGCTACAGAAGTATAAACCAGCCTTAATACTGTGTTCACACCAGACGTGGATAAAGCATCAAGTGCAAGTGATTTACATGTTAAGTCAAAAAGATATCCTGCGGCAAGATTCGCATGAATGAGGCAGCAAAAAATGGTGCAATTCGAGCTAATGAAGTGGCATGAGTTAAACATTTTGCGTGCATCGCGCAAATCACTCGAGTTGGAAAATATGAAATTCAGCGGACATTCACATTGCATTAACCAATCAGGAGCTTTCTCTTGTAGAGGCGTGATTATGATGTAGTACCTTTTGTTGGTGTCCCAAGGAGTGGGGAAATTCTTTTGGTGACACCACATAACAGCTTATCAAACTGGGCTTGGCTCAGTCTGAAGCACCACTGAAAGCTTCCATCATCCAGGTATAGTTTCTGGAGAAGAAAACTCACAGAGCTGGGTGCACCTCAGAAAGGATCAACTGGATCAGACACAGCGCCAAACAAACCCATGCTGTTTTTCAGCCTTCCTAAAGCACATAAAGCACAGCTACTATCTCAATAAAATCCATGTTAGTCATTTACCAACGAAGCTAGAGTCATTAGGCAGATGTCCAGACTGATGTCCTGCCCAAATCCGTGTCTATTGTGAAGAGAATTTGACGCGAGAATGAAGTGAGTAAACTCAAAAAGTTCAAACGTCTATTTACGTGTGAATAGTGTGATATATTTGCATGTGCTGCGACTAATGTGAACATCACATTGGTGAGGACAGAAGAACAAAATAAAACGAATAATATGCGTTTTAAATGAAAATGTTTTTCATTTTAAATACATTGAGCACAAAACCACAAATATCCTTTGAATTATCTACATAATATATACATTTTTTTTTTAGAGTTTTACCATACAACTAACCAGCTGTATTCTTTTTTTAGCAAGATTTGACACCTGCCCACACTGCCAAAAGTACTAGATTTAGGCCCCGTTTACACTAATGCATTTTAGTTTGAAAACGCATAAGTTTTGCTACGGTTACGCCAACCGTCCACACTACGCCGGAGTTCTCGAGCGCCGAAAACGGAGCGTTTCGAAAACGCTGGAGAGGCCGTTTTCATTCTGAAACGCTGCTGCTCCGTCTCAGTGTGGATGAGCAAAAACGGAGACATCTGAAAACAGAGGCTTGGGGCTTTTCCTCAATATTAAGTAGCCTAACACACACAGTTCAGTCCTGCATTCTCTCCTTGTAAGTTCAGACTTTGCAAGTTTGATCAAGGCTGCAGTCTATTCTTCTCAGTTTGATATGGAAAACAGACTATACCGAGGACACATGTAAATCTTCAAAGGGAACAGTGTACTTTATAACTTCATTCACATCACCCTGGCTGCGTTGTTTCACTTTCTCAACAATAAAATGTAAACATGATTTAAGGAACTGCCTATTTTTATTTTAATATTGGCACCTTAGACAGCAGAAATGTTGAGGCGCCGTGCTGCATGAGCGTCATCTTCACTGTGTGGATATTTATAACAAAACGGAGCCTATAACAAACTGCCTCCTTTCAATTTCAGTGAATATATGAAACACCCTCTCTTTTGCTGAATATCAGTTTTAATAATCGATAATGGCCATTATAAAAGTATAACATACAATAAGTTTATACATTATAGGAAATAAAGGCAAGCGATCAGTCAATATACAGAATAGGCTACGTGGTTACATTAATCATTAACTTATCTTTGCGCTCAGCCAAAACACGTTACGTGAGAACAAGTAATAGATTCCAATGACCAAAGTCAGGGAATATGTCGTTTAATAAATATAGTGAGATTAGATCCAGCGGGAGATGCTTGATGAGAAGTCCGACTAGCAGAGCTCTCATCTGGGTAGATGGGCTGCAGCGCTTGCCCGAGAGTGTCTGTGTGGTCACGTGATGTGCGTTTTCAGCGTTTTGGTGTGGACGGAGAGCAGTTCAGAAACGCTGGGTAAAACACGAGTGTGGACGCGGATCGATTTCATTCTAAAACGCCGTTTTAAAACTAAAACGCACTAGTGTAAACGGGGCCTTAAGGACTATAGTATCCCTGTACTCAATTGGCCTTTAAATTTGTTCAATCTTAAACTCTTGGAGAATCTGTGAAGCATTGTGAAGAGAAAGATGCAAGGCCACTATTAGAGCAACCTTGGCATCATAACATCACAGCAGTGTCACAGACTGATTGCCTCATGCAAACTCACATTGGTGAATTTGTGCAAAAAATAGCCAAGACCAAGTATTAAATGTTGTACATGTTCATACTTTCTTAGTAGAAAAAGTCAAATAAATCAGCACACTGCCACTTTAGCTCTCAGAAGACACATTTTATTGGACGGTTCAACCTACAAGAGGTTCATAAGGTCATTGTAGGTTGGAACGTCATCCAATTAAATGTCTTATGAGAGCTATATAGCGGCAGTGTGATTTTTTAAAATCTTATTCTATTGATTAAGCACATGCCTTTAATATTTTCCTAGATGTGCGCAGACTTGTATATTTTTCCACATTTTTCTGTAGTCCAACATTTCTGTATTAATAATCTTTTTTTTTTTGGTCTTATTAGCAATATTCTAACTTTCTGAGATCTGGGTCTTTCATTAGCTGTTAGCCATAATCATCAAAATAAAAGAAATAAACACTTGAATTATATCAGTCTGTAGATAATGAATCTATATATGAGTTTCACTTTTTGAATTGATTTACTGAAATAAATCAGCTATTCAATGAATGTCTTAAGATGCCTCTGTATAAAAGCAGCCCATTATACTTGGGAGTGGCCATGTTTAAGGAGTTTATCGTAGGTCATATTTATACCATTTAACTAAGTAGCTGTGGGTTAAAATTTAACAGATAAGACCAACATAAGCTCATTCTGAAAATGTAGCACTATATAGATTTCTGGAGATCATAAATTATATAGCCCGAAGCATATAGCTGCATTTCGTCTTTAAAATGAACAATACGGGGTGGTATGATGTCGTTCCTGTTCATACTTACAAGCTGACCGTTTACCTCCTTATGGATGGCTTTCCCACTGTTACTAGCTTGTCCAGGTAACTCACCATGTACGTCGATGAACCTGAGACATAGAGAAGAGTTGACCATGACAACAGGCTTTGAGTCCAGCGAAGAGCAGTTCTAGAAATCAGGTAAAACAGAGGCCAAAATATAAAGTACATAACAAGGTGAAACAGTGGTAAAATCTGAAAACATTGTGTAAATCAGGCGAGGGATTTTCTTTTTTTGGATTGCTTTTGAAAACACTCTTTTTTTGGGTTTAGGGAAGGAGGAGGGTAGGTCAGTCAGTCAGTCGGCAGTCGGTCAACAGTGGCCTCACGTGGATTTATGCGAGAAGAGCTGGCACGAATGACACACAAGAGAATATTCAGATGTGAAAAAGCATACACAGCGGTGGATTAGCGAAAACAAAAACTGGATAAAATGTAGCTCCTGGGACATATTTGGTGCTCTCCAGAAATGTAGACAGTGGTACATTTTCAGAATGAGTCTTGGTTACATAGGAACAGAAGAATGATACATAATTTCAAACACAGTAGGCATGTTTGGGGAAAGGTGGACTTTACTAAAATGTCCACATTTTTTCCCCTTACAAAGATGTGGAAAAAGAATGGTATACAAAATCATGCCACAAGCTTGGATGTTTAGCATTGGACTAAATGTTGTCCTAGCAACATTGTTTCAATGTTGAAACAACTGACAATATTTAAACTATTTCAACTTTAAAAGTTTGTGAAGTGTCATTCATTCATTCATTTTCCTTCTGATTTGTCCCTGACTTATCACGGGTCACCACAGCAGAATGAACCATCAGGTGTAAAAATCAATCAATAAATAAATAGAAAAAAATCATGAATCTCGAGGAGTTCTTGTTCTAAATGAAGGATCTAAAAATCCAGATCAATCATTGTCCCAAACTTCTCTCTGTGTTTTCATTGGAAATAGACCTCTTTTGTGTCAAATTCTGACCCGCTGCCAAATTAATACACCTACTGGTAAATTTGGGGTTAGATGTGGGTGAGGAGTCAGAATTAGGTGTGAGGTTCTGGCAACAGGACAATCAGATAGTGACTGCAATAATAATTTGGCAGGGAAAAGGGGCACAACTGGTACGATATTAGGCAAACTGTGGATACAAATTGATTAATTTGATTTTTTACATGCTTAATTGTGTCGCATTTTAATGATGTGATCTTATTAAGACAATAAATATCATAGAAATAAAGTGACATAATAGAAAAATTCAGCCAGGCTTCATTTGAATGAATTATATGCGTGCGTAAAACGCCCCCTTTCCAGATCACGCAGCCAAAGGCAAGACTAAAATCAGCACCAGGCGCAGGAGATCCATCATCTGATCTTCAGCAACCGCGGAGGACACGTCTGTATTCTTCTACAATTACAGGAGAATTCAATGTGGAGACCGATTGTGTGAGTTATGATTGCGCATGGTTAATGAAGATGAATAATTAAGAAAATTAAATAAAGCAAGCAAACTTCTAAACGCGGGACAACTCGACGGATTTTTATTTTCATTGATCCTCAAAGAACATTGGACATTTATTTTTGAAA